CCACATTTCGGCAAAGTATTCAAGGCTTTAATCAATGATGATATCTCAAAACCATTTGACAAGGTTTGGCATACTGGTCTTCTACGTAAGCATCAGGGCTACAGTATTACAGGATGCTTGTTTGATTTAATTTAACCATTCCTATCAAATCATGAAATGAAGGTTGTTCTGAATGGGCTCACTTCCAAATCCTCTCATATGAATTTGGGTGTTCCCCAAGGCTCTATCCTGGGTCCTATGCTGTTTCTGATCTTCATCAATGATCTTCCTGATGTCAACAGTTCCCAAGTAGGCATTTGTGCAGCTGACACTACCATTTATACCTGTCTCAGCAAATCCATCAGAACTGACAAAATTAACCTGGGCACTGCTCTTGGAAAGGACTTCCAATCAGTGGTTAACTAGGGCAGGAAATGGCTTGTAAATTTTAATGCCTCCAAAACTAAACTGCCTTCATTTAACCACCATAAAGAAACTGCCTTGCTTACCATCAGCATGGCTGATGCTCAACTCCTCACTGCACCTTTTTAGCCTCACGTTCTCAACTGACTTGAAGTGGAACAACTACATTGAATCAGTAGCTGCATCTACTGCAAGGAAAGATGATTCATTATATCGTGCCAGAAGATTTTTCATTTACAAATCTACCATTTGTCTGTGTATTAAATACTGTTGCCATATCTGGTCTGGTACCCCTTCTATTCATTTTGAGGTTCCTGACAAAATCCAAAAAAGGATCTGCAATGTAATTGATTCAGATTTGACATCTCGACTTCAGTTGTTGCTCACAGACACGGTGTGGCTTCCCTCTGTCTTTTCTACAAATATTTTCATGGCAACTCTTCTGGTGAGCTTTTTTCCCTTGTGCCCTGACTACATGAATTTAAGCGTGCTACTAGATTGGCATCTAGGTTGGTCCCGCCTTTTTAATGTTGAAATAGTTAAATATAACCACTACTTCTACTGCAACAGTTTCTTTTCTTGCACTTTCTGACAGTAGAACTCCCTTCCACTTACTTGCTTCCCTGATAACTACAATCTTCGAAAATTTAAATGCAACATTAATCGCCATCTTTTGTTGTCTTAAACCCCGTTCATCTTTTATCCTTTCCTCAAGCCACCCAGCCTTTTCTCTTACTTTCTTTACTTTTCTCTGTAACCCCTGTGTAATAGTGGCATTCCTGCCTTGCTTGGGGTGAAATGATTAAAAAAAAATGTCATTGTTTTTAAATATGTGCATGGAATAAACTTTGGTTGATTGATTGATTTGTTTTTATGCCTTATCAACCTTTTGCAGATTATTTAAAGCCAGAAAATATATTTAGATTGTAAGAATGTTTTGTAAATAATAATGAAATACTGATACAAGTCCTATTAATTAACCCAAAGCTGGTGGGAGAAGGGATGGATTCATACCTTTCCCAAAGGTATTTGCACTTAATGAATATAATGAATCCAGCTTGAACTCATATCTCTGATTTCCACCTCCGACCCATTATCCATTATACCACCTGCAGATCCAAGCTTACAGCACCTGGTATTCCTAAGCTGTTACCCATCTAGGTACTGACCAGGCCTGATGTTGCTTAAACTTGGTGATTGGATAATAATCAAGTGTTTCAAAGTAATAAGACTGAAATAAACTTCAGAATAAAGGCTTGTAAAATAAATTATACTTTTGATGTATCCTTATAAGTACAAAATAAATAAATACAATTTTGTATACCAGAGGATTGTGCCTGAGGATAAAAGGCTTAAAAGTTTTATCAATTTGGCACTTGCATTAAACCTTCGGGTATTTACTACACTATCATTAAATTAATTTTGTAACTGCTACTCAGACATTTAAGTGCTGTTTCTAAAGATGAATTTATAGGAAAAATTTGACAGTGTTTAATGTATTGGAAACAAATCAGTGATTAGAAATACATAACTGGATTCTTTGTTGGAAAGCTAAGATAGAAAAAACATTTTTGGCTTAAAAGATGTTTAGATTCTTATCTAAGATGCATGACACACATCAATGTAAAGACTCTGGGGAATTTTTTTTTCTCTCTCTTTTTTTTTTTTAACTCTGCTAGTGATGGTAGTGCAGAATTTGTTTTACCAATCAAGCACAAGTGAAGTAATGTTGGAGCTATGCCAAGGAAGGATTTTTGATTTTTTTTTTACTGGGAGATTGGCAGTTGCCCATGCTGTGCATCTTGCCTTGCCACACTATTGATGTTATCTAAAGGAAAGGCAGGAGCTAGTACTACTTGGTACTGACATCATTGCAGGACTTGCTATAAGGAGATTTGATTTAACATTGGACTTCCTTGGGACTATGGCTCCAGATTTTATTCTCAAGGTTTACTCCTAAAGTGTCTCCCATGATTGAGTATAGCTTCAGAAAAACTTAGATTTGTTTAGCATGGTTTTGAATAAAAAATTATTTTGGTATCTATTTGAATACTATTAAATCTCATGTCATGATTAGGAACAGATCCAAAGGTGTAATAGATAGTGGTTTGGAATGAGAGAGCAGATTTCAAATTCCAATTGGTTTATTATATTCACTTATGCACAAATACTCTCAAGAAAGGTATGAATCCATCTCCTTCCCCCAGCAATGGGTTAAATAGTAAAGCTTGTATCTAGAAAAATCATTGTTATTCTTAAAAATATTAATGTTAATTCAATATTCACTCACCAAAAAAATAATTATTTTTACAATCCAAAATTTGTTTCAGCTTTAAATAAAGCAAAAAAAAAAGAACTTGCTACACTTGTGAATTCACTAACCATCACTCTATTTCTCAGGCAAATCTCTGAAAATGCACTTTTGTAAGTGGAAGGGGTGTTTAATTAACCTGGAAAGAACAACAAACATAACATATTGTGGATCAGTAATAAAGATTATTAATATTCAAATACTCTCTTTCTCTCGTTCTCTCTTTCTCTCTCTCTCTCTCTCTCTCTCTCTCTCTCTATAAATGCCATATCCATTCTTTTCGTTTTTCTTTAATATCTTTAAACTGCATTGTCCTGATTCTTCCAGTGAAAGAGATAGAAGTTGTTTTCTGTTGCCTTCAGCATAATTTTGAGTTCATTTTGTTTTTCTTGACTGGTTGCCAATCAAAGCTAAAGAACTTAGTGTACTCTATTATTTAACCAGTAGCTTGGAAGAGAAGAGACAGATTCATGGTTTTCCCAAAGATCTTAGCAGAAAGTAAACACAAATGGTTTCAGGGAGAATTTGAATTTGGCTTGCCAATTCCTTTTTCTACATTATCAACCCTTAGTTCAATTCTGATGCTATGATTGTGACACTCACATAGATGGGGAAGGTGTGAGATTTTATCTCAATCTCAAGCATTTTGGGCTTTATGGCAGATAAAGTATTTGAAGTTGGTCTTCTAAGCAGCATCCAATTAACTGAAAGGGAACAAATGAATAAATAAATGAGAGCTTTTGGGTTTAAATGAAATTAAACTGGACATTGATGATTTCCAGTTGTTGTATATTTACAGTTATAGTTGGCTTTGAAATAACCAATTCTGGTCTGGTGCTGGTGGGGGACAGACTATTCTTTGAGTAGTTCTGGTGCCGCTCATTTGTGTTGTCAGCCACATGTCATGAGGTTGAGCTAGACAGATAGTTGGTAGTAGGAAAAGTCGAAAGAAAGAGATGAACATGGTAGAAGTTGTTCCAAGTGTCACCTACATACCCACTCATAACCATGCAAATGAAACCATGAAATAAATGCCTAAATATATTGGAAACATGGTTCAAGCCCTTCTTTCTTGCTGTGGTATTTCATTTCCCTGTGGTTTTCCCCAGATTTTGGTGCATGCCAATATAAATGAGAATGGAAATGCCACATGGTTTCATCATTATCTGGTGGGAAGCTGGATGAAGGTCCTGTTGTATGTTTATACAACCACAACTCTTATTCAAATACACCATGTTTTTTTTTAACTCTTTTAAAATACACCATGGCCTTTGATGGCTTTTAAGTCCTTTTGTGATTGAAATATTAAAATAAATAAATAACAGCTACACTGATCAAAATTCCATTCTGATACTAAAATTGATTTTAAAACTTTTATGAAACCTACAGAAATAATAGTGATAGCCATTGAGAATTTCTGTGACCAGATTGTGTTAAGGAACATTAAGCATAAACAAGTAAGGAACACCTTCAAATAAATCTCACTAAATTCTGTACAGGCATGACTCCAAAATTTAATAAGTGGTTTCTAGAAACTGATTGGATATGACAAGTCATGTGATATGCTCTCTATGATGTCCATGCAGTTGAATGTCAAATGACCTGGAAATAGGTCAGGGCATGGGTTATTAAGTACATTTCTTCGCAAAATTCAGATAGCAATTCGGAGCCGACCCCAAAACGATAAAAACGGCTTGTCAGCAACAGTTGGGACCAAATCTGAAATGGAACAGTCAATGAACTAGCCCAGCCTCGAGACATGTTACCATGACAATGTGTCAGTCAGCAATGATTTTCCTACCTACAAAGCTGTATTGAAGTAAGTCCTGTCTCAACTCTACTTGTTCACTGTTTTAAAATTACAGCTATCACACACAACCAGTCAGCAGTCACAAATATGTTTCATTGGTGTGTGCTCCACACACATACATACTGGCATGCAACAAAATAACTTTGAACTTTGCAGGCTCACTTGCAACAAAATAACTTCAAACTTTGTAGACTCACTTGCAACAATTCACTTTGAACATTCAAACTATTTGTCTCTTCATGGCCACAACAAAGATAATCTAATTCTAATATGTAAATACATGTATAATACTGTATAAATGTTATTGTCATATTTAACTTGGTCTTCTTTTTCTGTCAAGATCATTTCTTCACATTGTTTATAATTTTCTATTGTAATTTGTGGACACGACACTTGGATTTTATTTTTTCACCTAAAATCCGGGTAGACTACTCCCATATGTAATAATATTTCATGTTATTTGTTTTTATTTTACAGCTGTCATTATCTGTAATTGGGGAATAATGCTGAGTGTGATTATTTTTGTCTGGTGTACGTTTGATACTGCTGGTAGGAAATGGGTAAAAATGAAAAGATTTCAAGAAAGTCTGAGACGAAAACGGCGAGATAGAAAACATTCCAGTTGCGCACGTAGGAATTGGAGACAGAGGTTTGTTGAATTATTTTGTATTTGAACTCATTCCATAATTTTCAATGTACGACATATATCAATTTACTAATCAGTTCCATAAACTTTTTTTATGGAATAGTCAAGTCATTAAAATAATTTGTCTTCAAGCAATGTAGTTTTAAGAATGTTAATTTTATAGGACAATTTCTGATAAAGATCTAAAAAATGATTTGATTAAAAATTTAAACAAAAAGCAAAGCAAATTTCAATAAAAGTTATTTTTTACCAAGTAATGCATACATTTTTTTCTCTCAAAATTCGTTAAAAAAACACTTTGTGCTTATTAATGAATTATGAAGTCATTGATGAATTAAAAGTTATTTTTTTAACGAATAAAATTTTATTTAATGAATAAAAGTTATTTTTCTTTTTTAATTCTGATCTTTCTCAAAACCTGACTTGGTAATTTGCAATTTTTCAGAAAAGCTTTACGGGCATATGAAGAAAAATGGGATAAACGATTTAATTTACTTTGTTGTTGTATGGAAAGGAGAGGCAGAAATCAGGTAAGTATTTATATTTCTTTTATATGTTTTATCAATTTGCATGTCATATATACTCATGGATAAATCACACCAGTAGATAGGTTGCACCCTTAGTTAGGGGTTGTCAAGGTGGATATTTGCGGTTGACTCACAGATAGGTTGCACTATAATCTGGGGAGTTATATGGCCCTTTTTTAACATAAATATAACTAATATTTGTTAAATAATATTTCTGACACTCCAAACTCTCTTTCTGCAGATCTGTTTGCATGTTCTTCTGCATAATCCGCCACTTTCAACTTAAAACTTACTTCATAACTCTTTCTCTTACTCATGATTAGGGTTTGTATTTATTAAAATTTGTAAACTACCAGTACCAGTAAAAATTGGGGTGAATCAAGTTTTTGTATACCAGTAAATGACTATTCTGCCTTGAATAACTGTATATGAAATTGTAATTGGTTGTAATTGTGTAGTAGCAGAGCTGCTCTGTTTAGACAAAAATTTGGATACCAGTTATCGCTTCAGTCTTAAAATCACTTGAAAACAATAGTCTTTCATTGTAAATCAGATAATACATGATAAATATGGACAAACATTAAAAAACATAGACAGGACATATTGGGTGTTTTTATTTGATGTGTGACACAGTTGGAAGAGGTGATTGCATAAAATCAAAATGTCAGGAAAAATTCATTTTCTCCCTTGTTCTCGTTTATGCTTGGCCCAGGGTACTCACTTGGACTACTGATATTCCACAGTCTACTTCAGATTCTCTATGATGCTGAGTGCATATGTCTCACCCCTGATTTTTATCAAAATTTTGCTGAAAATAAGTGCAACCTATTCTCGAGTATATATGGTAATGTAGACATTTTCCATGCATACATTTTAATTTTATATTGTTACATATAAAGCAAGCAGGTCAGTAAATGTGTGAATACAGAAATTTTGAAAAATATTGTTTATACAATTTTATCAACAAAAAGTACCCATAAAAATTACATGGTTTTCCTTTTTGAAATTTCTGATGAATCATAATTCTTAATTTAATGATTGAATAAGTTCCTTTCAAGTTCAACAACTATAAAATATTTGGGGAAATTCTTTGATTGTATCATTAAATATTTGAGCTTAACAACTTTAATAAAATATTACATAAACAATCATAAGTATGAATGCAGGTTATTATTTAAAGAGGGTACAAATGAAAAGATTAATAATTGACAAGGTTTTCCATTTCACTGAAGCAGATGTTAAATGCTTGAAACGTTTGTTATGCCCCCTCTATTTTCCCGTTTTTTTTTTCTTTCTTTCTTTTTTCTGTAGTGAATTGGTAAATGAAGTTGTACCTATTACATATGATAAGTAGAAGAGAAATAAAGTACATAATAAAGAAAGAGACAGGCGAAAAATTGACTACTGATCACATGTTGTAGAACAACACAATACAAGAATATGGCATCACTGATAGGATGTTTAAGTTGCTTGGATTAACCAGAATTTGTCGAGACTTGGATCCAATGTTTTGCAGCCCAGACTAGGACTAAAAAATTGAAAGACAAAAATGCATGAGGTTGTAGAAGAAGTTCGAGAACAACCAAAGGCATTAAGCCTCTTTGGTTCAGGGAGGTGTAGTGGACTGATTGTACCTATTTTCATGTTAAGTAGAAGAAAAATAAAGTGTATAGTAAAGAAATTGAAAGGGGGAAAAGTTGATGAGTGATCACATGTCATAGAACAATACAATATAACTATTTCTGTTCTTTCTAAAATATTTCTCTCTGTACAAGTGTCTACTTTTATTAATAGTTTTGCTGGTTTTCATTCTCTTTCTAGTATTTGGATGTTTATCTTCACAGTGACTGAGCTGTTTACCATATGTAACTCTAATTTGTAGTGGTCAGCATGGTTGTTATCATTGTCTGCTGCTTGTATATTTGTAGTGTAAATCTAACTACTGCCACCATGAAATAACTAGATGCACAACACAAGACTTGTTTTTATACCTTTATTTCTAGTAGCTCGTATATACAGCTTCAATGTGGATAAATTGCTGTACCCCAAAGTGAGGTTAACCAGAAGTAAACAAATGGTTTATTGGTTTATTCTGTCCACTGATACTATATGAAGAATTTGTGGGCAAGAGACAGACAAGCTATTACAAGGTATATTGCACTTGTGGACAAGCTTACTAACAGAGGAAGAAACAAATAATATGGTGATTCAAATCACTATTATGCTTATAAAAGTATTTTTTTACATTTGAAGAATATTTAAAAGGAAAGTTTTATATTGTTCTCTTCTCTGTTTATGATACAATCATGACATAATTGTTTAAATTGAATTAAACACTATTTCTTCACATACATCTCTTTGTGATGGAGCTGAACATATTCTGAGCCATGTTTCCTTTTTTTTTTTACAATGATATTCACCCTGTAAAAGGCACAAGAGCCACTTGAGGTAGAGGGTTACAGAGTAAGCGCCACATCTTATAGGGATGTATGGGGAAGATAATGGTTAACTCTAGACTTGAACAGATTAAGATTGCAGTGATTGGGGACGCATCCTCTTGGGAGTTGGTTTCATAAAGATCTACTTTGTGGGAAGAAGTTACTCTAGTGGAACTTAAATCTGACCAAAGGAATATGAAAAGAATGAGGATTGTTTGGGTGCGTCTTAGCCATAAAGTTTAGAACTCATGGAACTAAGGAACACTATCCCTGGGAATAGCAATAGATTAGTGAGAGGCTTGTGATTTTTTATCTGTAGGTGGAAAATAATTCATCATCCGCAAGGATGGGGAGAAACTTTTGGACTCTATTGAGACTGTAACTCCTATCTATATATGCTTGAGTCATTAGGTGTTTTAAGTTTTTCAACAATCCTTATCTAGGAAAACCAGTCATGGTTGATTAAGTCCTAACTTCAATCCAGGAAGTAAAACTCTCCTTTACTAATTCACAGCCACCATGAAGCAACTTCCACTGTTTCAGTGATGGCTTTTTAGTTATTTGCAATGCCCAATATGCTGCAGGTCCTCCGTAGAGAGATTGCCCAGTGAATCTCCTGCATCCCAATAGTCTTATACCTCACTACCAATTTGTTTAATATTGTCCAACAGCTTACTGTACTTTGGCCTTCTCATTGTTGTCCTCACAAGGAACAGTAAATTCCAAGAGATTGACCAGCTTTGCAGATTCCAATATCAGCACCATTTATGACATTGATGTTGCTATGGCAACAGTTTCTTGAAATTTGTTGCCTCTCCTGTTCAACTTTCAGCTTCCAGTCCTGTGCCATTGCTAGCAAGCCTGAGGAGGTGGTCCTGGCACTTGATGTTAGATTTTCTCCAGCCCTGAGGAAAGCAATAATCTTCTTGACTGGCAGTGGCATTTACAGTGGCTAATCTTACTCCAGATAATGTCTGCTATAGTCAGCAGCAGACAGTCTTATCCAAAGCTGTCAGACAGCAGCTGTGGATGCACTCCAGGTTCTTTCTATTCTGGCATAAAAATTATATACTGAAAATATGACTGTTACATACTATTAACTAGTTCAAAGCTAAATTTGTTTTTTAAAGGAATTAAAAGAAACAATTTAATTAAGTTAGATATTGTGTGTGTGTGTATATATATATATATATATATATATATATATATATATATATATATATATATATATATATATATATATTCTCTGTAACTAAATGGTATAGCATGTCAGGCTATATGGCGGTTCCATGTAGGATACAGGTTCGATTCCTCTTGGAATACACATATTTTCTTTGAGATTTCTCAGATATTTAGACTGGTAAATGTTGTTAGTACTGAATATTATAAACAGAGCATTTACTTAAATATTTGTAAAAATAACATATAAACAAAAAATATTAAAATAATTGTTGGACTTACCATTTCACAATATATATATATATATATATATATATATATATATATATATATATATATAATGAAAACAGACAACTTTAAGGGTCCATTGGTTATAATTTATTTCCCCAGGTAATTTCTTTTTTCCTGGCTCATCTGACCATTTTTTGAAATGTCTGTCATCGTGGAAGTCTGTTAATGGGTCAGTATTTGTTTTTTTTTTAAGTATCAAAGTATTCAAATCTTCTGCTGCCTATAATTATCATGGTGGGGGGGCTTAGTTAAAAATCTTGCCACCTGTTTTTATCATTGGGGGTGTTAATCCAACAATATTAACAAATTGGTAAAATATTTGTTATTACTATGAATTATGTTGGAAAAGTTAAGCAATGTTGAGCCAAGGGGGGGTGACTGCTTGGGAATATACTGTAAACTTGAATGTGTGGGTGTTATAATGGATAACAACTTGGAAATGAAAATCAAAGAGCCAAGTTCCAATACTCTTGGGAAAGGAATGAATCCACTCTTTCTCCCCCCTCAGCTATGGGCTAATTAGTAGGACTTGTATCAGTAAATCATTATTATCTCCCTCACCAAAAAAATTCTTACAATCTAAACATATTTTCTGGCTTTATATAACTTACAAAAGGTTGATAAGCCATAAAAAACAAATCAATATTACTATAAATGTTGTATTTAGTGGGTACACATGTTTGAGAAGCCATCCCTGTTTATTTTTTTTAAACAGTGAAATTAATGTCTACTGGCCTAGAGATTGAAAAGTGCTACTAAAGAAAACTCTTTATGCTTGCAAATGGAATTTAGAAAATGTGTTTTTGTGTGCATTTAAATATTCTATAGTCAATTATCCCAGGTTTGAAAACTATTCATCTTTTTAGATTGTTTTATTTTTTTACAATTTATATTTTATTTTCTTATCTATATAAACATGAATATGACAATAATATTTATTGTTTAAATTATAAATGTTATTTTTGTGGTTTCTTTTCTTGTTTTGATTGTAAACCTCATGCAGATACTAGTGGTTGTATCATGAAAGCTTTAAGTAATCAGATTTAATAAAATCAGGTTAAGTACTTATAATACTAATCAATTATAATCATTTTTAAGAACATTAACAGATTATTTGGAATCTTATCTTTTCATTGTAAATTTTGTAACTGTTTTTTTTATGTTCTAAACTGCTTTTATGGTAAAGAATGAAAAGACTTGATTTCTAAATTGATGTTTCTTTTGTAAAGTAAAGTAAATATAAAACTAAAACAAAGCTGTGATACTTCATTATAAATGGTATTGTAACCAGGAACTAAGGAAATGGAAGCACTGTTTCAGCTATTGTTCAGATACAGAGGTACTGTGTTGGCGATATTGTGTATGTGTGAATAAAAAGCAGAGGTGTTGAGTCTGCAGACAGAAGTCACCAGTCTAAACTGTATTGTCATTGTTATTACAGACCCCCTTACCAAGTTATGACTAATTGGTTTTACAGTGTGTTGAAACATCTCATGGATGTATGTGGAAAATAAATGAATTGTCTCAAAAGGAAAGCATTTCTGGGTTGGATTCAAATGACAAACATTTGAATTAGCTGAAATCATTGATATTAAATTGATTGTGAGCTTCGTTTATGTTTTTATAAAAGAAAATTTGGACACCAAATTAAAGAACCAAACTTTTTTACTGATTACAAAAGAATTTATAAAATAAAATGATGACTGTAATGCAGGAATTATCAACAACCATGTTTCAAATTTATAATCTAATTTCTAAATATTCTCAGACATCTTTCAAACCATAAAATGTCTTGTCCTCCAGGTTACAGAACTAGGTAAGTTTACCCTTTCCACACCACTATTGTCATCCATGGGAAAAGTGAAGTTTGATGCAGTTGGTCACCAGTTTCAGATTTATTCTCATAAGTGCCAGATTTACATATTTGCTAGTATGGGCTGCAACTAAAAAAAGAATAATAAAGATATTAGAACAAAGGAGATTTGTTTATTTTCATATTTAATGGGGCTCCTTTGAACTAATTTGAAACCATTTAGACCAAAAAAGCATCATCTAAAAATATATTGTTTTTTTTTTATAGACAGTGGGGGTGAACATACATAATGAAGGGACTCCCAAATTTTATTAGCACTTGGCCTCTTAAGGCTTAAATCTGGCACTGGCTCTCATGATCTTCTCCTGAATACTTTCCCATGAGTAGATATGGCTGTATGAAAGCAGAAGTTTTGAATTCAGGATTTTTGTTCTAGACTGATTACTAGCCAAGGCTAGAAAGCCCAATCTGCATTGCTATTTTACCTATAGACTGACTATCTTGTTTATCATTTTATTTTCTTGATGCAAGGGTTGGACATTTCTTTGAGCATTCTTTGCCACAATACTCAGTTCAGTGCACTACTTCAACCATGAATTTATATACCCAAACTATCATAATCTTTGGGCAGCCAGCAACAAATCCAAAAGTGGAATGTCCAGATGTTTGTACAAAAACACCAAGCTAATTCTGTCACCATGTATCCACCTCATCATTTTATACCAGGTGCAATTTGTCCTTAGCCCAGGATTTGTCACTATAGGTCAGGACACTGCAAACACAGGAGTTGTAAACATCGCCTGGAGTGTGACAAGTGATGTAGCAATTCAACAGGATAGGCAACAGTTCTCTAAACTTCCCCCACAAATAAGGGGATAATAGACTGATCCAAACCTTTTCAAGGGTATTAATGTGATGTGAGTACAAACTGTCTCAGCTTTAATTTGAACTTGTCTCACTGATTTCATTTCCTATGCCATTAACCTTTATGCTACCCACACCTCCATTTATAAATATAATTTTCATAATATTCTTTATTATTTGGTCTTTGACAAAACATAATTTCTTAACTACACAGTTTTGGATTGACACATTTTAGGTAGCAGCATACTTGAAAAAAATGAGATTAAATTTTCTAACTTTTATTAATTATAAAGACCCATTGTTTTTCCTTTATTTTAATAATAATTATTACATTTTTGTAGCATGTTTAAATTTCTTTTGTATCATACTGGCATAATAGATGAAAGCACTTCCTTTAAGGTTTAGTATTCAGAAAAATATTAGGCTGTAAATTAAATGCTACAAATTGCTGAATAGGCTGAAAAGAAAAATAACAGGAAGAAAACAAAATTCAAACAGATTAAGGGGTTAGCAAATAACAAAAGAAAAAAGAAAAAAAAGATTATCCTTGGGAGGGATTTCAGTTTGCAATCATTATTATGCTCATATCATTAATTGTTCAAGTATTGTAGATAATTCAAAATAGTCTGGATTAACTTTATGTAGTTGACATTTATCAGATTAGAATTCATCTGTTTCTGTTTATAATTATCAAGTTTTATATGCTGCAATGTGGAGGTGGTCTAATTGTTAGCAGTAGACAGGCCTTGGGTAGTAGCCAGTCTAGGAGTAGACAGGCCTTACGTAGTAGCCAGTCTAGGAGTAGACAGGCCTTGGGTAGTAGCCAGTCTAGGAGTAGACAGGCCTTGGGTAGTAGCCAGTCTAGGAGTAGACAGGCCTTGGGTAGTAGCCAGTCTATGAGTAGACAGGCCTTGGGTAGTAGCCAGTCTATGAGAAAGTCTACTCTGAATTGAAAACCATGGAGAAGGCAACAGGAAATCACTCCATTACTTCCATGGAAAATGCTTACATGAACTGCATTCCTTGATTCTGCCAGTTCTAACTTTCACAGCTAGGACCTGACATGACACTCACATTGTAGTATACCACCCTTATTCCTTACATATTCCTTTGGTGAGAAGTAAGTTCCACTTGAACAGCTTCTTCATGCGAACCACTGCTCTGTGGAACCGACTCCCAAGAAGATGTTTCCCTGATCACTACAATCTTAACCTGTTTAAGTCTAGAGTTAACTGTTATCTTCCCCTCCTATCTGCATAAACTGCCTCTTACTGTAACCCTCTACCTTGAGTGGCCCCCAGCCTTTTACAGGGTGAACCTCATTGTAAAAAAAAAAAAGAAAGGAAAAATAAGCTATCTTTCTCAAAAAAGTGATATCAGTTTACAGATATTAAAAGAAAAAAAATCTGTGGAGAGCAATGATCACCTATATCTTGAAAAACGGTAAAATATATTTATTATGTGTATATTTAAACAGAGAGGGAAAATGGAACAAAATAGTAATTGTATTCTCATGTAAATGTATAAGTTAGCTGATAAAAAAAGTTACTTCACTTGGGCTATTGTTATGGAACTGAATGGTATGTGGCTAGAAGAAACAAATCATTGGGTAAAAATCAATATCAGGTTGAAGAGTAATAAGAAAATGGGCCAAGCAGTTGTCATGGATTAATCAATGAAGATATCTGAAAAGAATGAACTATTGTATCAATAAATTTAGAACAATTGTATAAAGAAATACAGGATAACCTGAAATAAATATATAAAAAAAATCAAGTTATTTATCATAGAATAAAAGATTTTACATTATAGATTAATTGTATTGTTTATGAAATTCTTTTTCTTTCTGTCTTTTGCAGAGCTCCATTTCTGAAGTTGCTCAATTGTTCACAGAATTCTTTAGAGAACTTGATGTTGTACCTTCAGATGTTGTTGCTGGATTACTGTTACTCAGACGATATCAAAAGCTCCAAATGAAAAATTGTGTCAGTCAGGTAAGAGCTACTTTTTATTAAGATACATATTTGCTTGGGAGGAATTTGTGATAATTTCAATTTTATTTAACATGAATTACTGCTGAAAATTATTTTAACTGCTATTTTTGTAACTTATTGATAGAATTTTATTTCATTTTTATTTCAGTAAAGTTTAATCAAAATTGCAAGTGAAAAAATTGCATTTAACTTATATATTTTGTTGTTAATAATTCTTAGCCCATTTAAAAGTGGTAGAAATTTTAGTCATTCACAGTTAATGGGTTAATAGATTTTACCAATTCAGCCACATCAATGGAAAAGGTTTCATGAATATGCATGCCAAACAAGTAAAAACAAAAAAATTCATTTTTTTAAAGCACGTTTTTTAAATTTTCACTTTGATTATATACAAAAACTATAAAAATGTTATTTTAATTCTATTATATTATAAAAATAAAGCAAAAAGGGAAATAAAACAAAATTTAGGTTTCCAAATTGAATATTTTTTAACAGTATGAATGATACTCCTTGAAGCATTTCATGCACAATGGCGTTACATTCTCTTCAAGAACTATACATGCTGACATACTACTGTCTTTGGCATGTTCTTCCAGGCAAATACTCCAGAAAATGATGTAACCTCATGAAATCTAGCAAAAGTATGAATCCTAGAGTTACCAATTAGTCATTTAGACTTGAATCATAAATAAATTATGTACATATCATTTGATATTGTTTAAATCATCAACTGATGATATCTGCTGATCCCCAATTAAATATCAGTTGATGATGATCACCATTTAAGAGTCAATTTTTCTGTTTGTGTTCATTTTTACCTACTTTTGAATATTTTTGTCTGAAATAAAAGAACTAATGATTATAATATTTGAAATATTTTTAAAGGTTAAAAAATAGAAGTATAGAAATAATGAAGTGTAAATTATAATAGAAAAGTAATTAAAAAGTTATAAAAGAAACATTAAAATTAAAAAGTTATACAAGAAATACATTAAAATTAGAAATTATAAAAGAAACAAATTTTAAAAAGTTATGAAAGAAAAATTAAAATTAAAAAGTTACAAAAGAAACATAAAAATAAAAAAAATTATAAAAGAGACATTAAAATTAAAAAGTTATAAAAGAAACAATAAATTAAAAAGTTATAAAAGAAACAAATTAAAATTAAAAAGTTATAAAAGAAATATATTAGCTGCAAACTATTATAAATATTTATGGTAATTATTACAGGGTAAGAATAAATAAAAAATATGCTTGAATCTTACACGTTAAATTAGATTTTGCAAATTCTAACATTTTTCTAAGAAGGGAAAATAATCTTGTTCGAACTTTCACAAATTTGTTGCATATCAGGTTAATGATTTTAATATAATGTAATATTTAAAGTCGTAATATATATATATATATATATATATATATATATATATATATATATATATATATATATAATATTTAATGATGTTAATATAATGAGAAAGCAGCTTTGTTTTTCAATTTAGAACAGAAGTTGATCTTTTGATTTATATATTGCAGAAAACGAATGATATTTATCAATATTTGTCTGGAGCTCCCATTACACCAAAGACACATTTTCTTCAGTTAAATGATCCTAATGTTATGGAAGAATACAAGCTAATCATTCATTACATGGAGTATGCCTTAGCTGCATATGGTTGGCCTGCCTACATGATGATGAATAATGCAATTGGTTTGTGCAGTCTCATTCCTTATCTTTCGTAAGTATTTTGGAGTTCATCTACTTTTGAGACAATAGATCAATTCACAGAACTTTATGAAGAAACTACTATATATATAAATGTGTATATGTATTATACAATGAGTTGTGTTTTGCATATATATATATATATATATATATATATATATATATATATAGAGGTTAATGATAACCTCTCTATTTGTTTTATTGTATGAATGATTCATGAATTTATAAATTATAATTGCACCTATAATATGAAATTAAAATAACTGATCCAACGTGCAACTTTTGGACAATAAGTGTGACATTACTGTAATTATTGAACAATATAGTTCATGCCACATTGACGGAAAACTTACCAGTAAAAAAGAATTCTCTTATTCCTATATTTGTGCAAAAACGCACAACCTTAAAATTTAAAATTCAAACTCAGCATTGCGACCGCACGTTCCAAAACAATAACACATTTCTCATAGCATTTTTTCGGATTACATCTATTTTCGTTGTCCTCTTATTACCGAGAAGTAAAAACAAGAACAAATCTATTTTCATACCTGAGGATGTCTGTAGGAACAGACGAAAGCTTGTAAAAAATTAAAAAGACCTTATGCAACTGGAATTTATAAACAGGGATCATATCATTCATATACAGGTTCGTGGTTGCTGTATCTTTTTGATATTGTTTGCGAAGATGTATTCTCGCCATTTAAACCATTAACCTATTTGTTTTATTGTATGAATGATTCATGAATTTATATATATATATATATATATATATATATATATATATATATATATATATATATATATATATATATATATATATATATATATATATATATATATATATATATATATATATATATATGTATAAGCATATTTGAGTTGTTATCCCTGATTTAAAAAAAAAAATTTTAAGCAGTGAAATTATTAATAACTGGCCTAGAACTTCTCAATCTTGCTCAGTTGTTATTAATTTCACTGTTTAAGAAAATAAACAGAAAAACAGGAATAGCATTTCAAATACATGTACCCAATAGAAATAATGTTTATAGTAATAAGATATAGCATGCATAGACTTGTTTATGTGTTTAAGCTGTATATTTTGGTACTAGGTTCTGTGTGTGTATGTGTGTGTGTATATATATGTATATATATATATATGTATATATATATATATATATATATATATATATATATATATATATATATATATGATAAGGTATACTATATTTATGGGTAAAAGTGCTCAATATCAGAGTCAGAGTGTATGTAAATATAAAAATTGACACTGAGGTCAACATCAAGCAGCTTGGTGTTGACCTTATTATGTATGGATGAATAAAAGCAAGAAGAAAGCTTTTCTTTACCAAAGTGTTTTGTCCCTTGATGGACTTTATCAAGGTAAATGTAAAGATTTTATTTTGCAACATATATTTATAAACAGAAGTAAAGTGGGGAAAACAATATTGTTAAGGTAGGTACCTCCACGAAATTGTTAAAAAAATAGCATAGCATAATGAAAAAGACGCCAAATTTGACGAAAACAAAATTTTATCATCTAAATGCTTATGTTATTATTAAGAGGAAAGACCAAAGGTTTTTTTAATTATTTTTAAAAAATTTTCCTTCTTTTTAGAACATTCTAAATTTTGATTAAAAAAACCTTGTTTCTCTTTGTAAAATAACATATACAATTTCTAGCATGTTTTTTTGTATGGCACACATTAATTTGGAAAATCTTGCAAAAATAAAAATAATTGTCAGATGTTAATGAAACTTTTTGAATTCAATTGTATGCCTTCAATTACAGATAAAATGTATTGTTGGTCTTTTTAATATAAATAGGTATTGTAGGTTATTTTTTAATAGAAAAAATATTGCTGGTATTTTTACTGTAAAAAAGTATTTTTATATTTTCCTAGTGTTTTGCTTTTGTTTGGGGGTTCACTATTTGCCCATAGCTGGGACCCTAACAGGTGTTACCACCTGGTGGCAAGGTGGACCTGGGAACAACAGCAATTAAGAGGTGGTTCCACACTCTTTGAAACCTATATAGAAAAGAGTTTGTAAGATTTTATTTGGGAGACACCAGGCTACAGTTTTCTCTGTTGTGATCTGTTAATCAATTTGAAATGGCTGAACTGAATCCCGAGAAAACTTTCTTGTTTCTGGAAATATGATATCTTGAAAGAAATTTCTTTTGTCTTGTGTTTTCTTATTCCAGATTCAATTATTTAATTTATTTTATTCTAGATTCAATTATTCAATTTATAAATGGTGATGAAGAAAGTAAAAACAATTCTAGAGCATCTGTTAAATCATTTCTCCAATATGACATTGTATGAAAATATCCCAGTTCCAAATAATTAAAATATCCTTTAGTTTTTCAAATAATTCCTGTCTGTCAATGTTTTTCACTTCTAAACTAAAAGTTTAAGAATTAAAATAATATGATAATTCTGGTGTTTTGTTTCTTTTACTAAGATCAATTCATGAGAAAGAAATATGTAAATGCCTTTCTTATTTATTCTAGCAAAGATATCTACACATATGTTAAAATAGAATCTTTGTGATAATAAAAATATCTGAAAAAAGACCCATTGAAAAATTAATGTGACAAGTATGTTACATATATTTGTCATGTAGACTTAATGATCCAGTCTTTACAAGACTGGATCATTAAGTCCACATCCTAACACATAATTATTAATTGAATTTGTGAGATTTTCACTGTATAATGTTTGATTTATGTGATTAATATTTACCACTGTTTTAAATGCATTGACAAGAAAGGAGATTGTTGTATAATGTTTTCATCATTAGTAGTACTGGTAATATTATCTGTTTCCTTATAAGGAAACATTTGGTATTCATTGACCAAAGAGCCAGTGATGTTTTCAATTGAAATTTATAAAATCTTTCTATTAAAACAATTTTTCAGGGAAATCAGTTTCTCAAGTCCACTTAGTGTTATTGCTCTTTCTAGGGCTTCCTTTATAACTTTTTGTTCGATGTACTGTGGAATACCAACATCTTGATTATGACATTATTTTCTATTTGAATTACATGGGATATCCATTTTAGTTGTTGTTTTTTTGAAAGTCCTCAAGTGATGTGGTTTCTGTTATTTGGTACAGTTCTTTCTTTGTGATTCTGTAGGACCAGTCCATAAAATTTGAAAAATGGATGGTCATCATGAAGACTTACAGGCTTCATTCACTTGAAGCTATTTTTTTATCAGCAATTAAGCTTTGGATTTATTGATGTATATGTTTCCTAAGAAAGGAAACAAGCATAAAAGTGAACATATTTATATTTACTAGCATTAAAGTATATATTTCACTGTATCCATTTGATGTAAGAAATTTACTTTCAAAATTATCTCATTAATAAATATATAACTTATTTAAAAATTTGAAATTAAAACTTGAAAGCTTAAGATTCAGTTTGACAGATTTAAGTGAATAATATTAAAAGTAAAAAGGTTATTTAATCTTCTATTCCAGGTGTTGCTGTTGTAAACACTGCTTTTCGAGTCATCAGAATTATACAACTGTCATTGAAGATAACTGCTGTGATTGTAACTTTGCTGCTATGAAACAATTAAGTGGACTTCCAGAAGCTGATATTGTCTATGTAACTTACCATGTTGATGTGAGTAACATTTTTCTTTTTATTTATTTTTTGCTTTTAATTCTTTTTTCTTGTTATTTTTTTTTTAATTTTCCCTTTTAATTCATTTTTTTTCATTCATTTTTCTCTATTTCTTTTCTCTCTTTAACTCCTTTTTTTATTTCTTTTTCTCTTTAATTTTGTTCTTTTTAATTCTTTTTCTCATTAATTTTTTCTTTCTTTATCCTTTTTCTTTTTATTCTTTTTCCTTTTATTCTTTCTTTTTCTTTTTATTCTTCCTTTTCCATTTTATTCTTTTTCACTTTCTTTTTCTTTTTCTTTTTTCTCTTTCTTTTTCTTCTTCTTTTCCAATACTTTTTCTCTTCTATTAAATTTTTTCCCTTAATTCTTTTTTCTCCTTAATTTGTTTTTTTCTTGATTTGTTTGTCTATCACACCCCTCCTCAGTCTTTTGATCAAGAGTAGCAGTTTCTTTTTTTTCTGTTTTTTTTTATGATTGGGTTTCCAGTTCTTTCTAAAGTCTTTTCATTTTCTTTCACTCCCAGTAGCCCTTGTGTTTTAGTGGGTATATTGTGTGGGGTATATTGGTTAAAAAAAATATTTTTTCTCATTAATTTTTTCTGTCTTTTTTCCTTCTGCTCTTTAATTATTTCTCTCTTTAATTAGAACTTTTCTCTTTAGATCATTTTTTTCTTCTTTAACTCGTTTTTTTCTCCTGTTAAATATTTTTATTTGATAAATGAAATACAAGAATAATTTTCTTAACATGTTTTTAATGTTATGATTTTAGTAAAGAGATGATACAGCTTATAGAGTTTATTTTGTGTGGTTGTGCTGGTTTTCAGATTTTAACTACTGTTAGAAATAATTTATGTAACCCTGGCAAAGCACATACTATGCAGCTACGAAAAGGTTCATTTGTATTTACTTGATGATCCTGACTACAGTCGACTCTCTAGAAATAATTTTATCAAGAAATAGTCTTTCATAACTATAGTAGCAATATTTTTTGTTATTGCTTCCATAAATTATTAAATACTTTACCGAGTTGTAGTTAAAATACTGATATACTACATGAAATAAAATCCCTTTTTGATTTCCTATTCTCTTAATAAAGTAGACACTGTTGTCATCTGTAGCAGATTGTGATACTGACATGATTTAAGAATTTCTGTCATTGGGTATTAGGTGGGGGTCAGCACATCCCCATGAGTGACCCAAGCTGCTGGTGGATGAGTGTTTTTAATGAGTTACTATCTTGAGAATGTTTACCAACCAAGGTTAGAGAGTCCAGTCTGCCATACTGTTTAACCCATAACAGGAGAGAAAAGATGAGTTCCTATTTTTCCCAAGGGTATTTGTGCAAAAGTGAATATGACAAACTCAGCTGAAATTCAGTTTCACTCGCTGATTTCTTTTTTCTGAGCTGATAAACTTTACACGACTCACACATTTACAGATTATTGAATACTACACTGAGTTGTAGTTAAAACACTGATTTTCAACATGAAACCCTACTTTGTGGAACTGACTCCCAAGAAGATGCTTCTCAGGTCTTGTACAGAGTGAACATCATTGTATAAAAAAAAAACCTCTATCTAATTTCCTATTGTCTTAATACTGAAAAAGAGACTGAAAAATACTCTTGAATTATTGATTCTGGGAGTTGCATATAATATCCTTTGTTGGACTACCTAGTATAGAATGATGATTAGTAGACTAGGCTCATTAGAACATTTAGTTTGATCCTCAGGGGATGCCCTGCTCTTGTAACTTGAAAGGGGACAAAGCTAAACTATGGTATCTTTTGATACATGGGATGGCCTAATGTTTAACAGTATAGAAAATGGGATGATTTTCTAGTGAGGTTATAATGAAAGTATAATTTTAATATTTTTAAGAAACAACCATTTACTCCTGTCTTGATAGCAAGTCCGATTGGCTCAATAAGGTCAAATTCAAATTGGTGGCTGATGTCAAAAACGATCTTCAGTCTGTTGTTAACTGGAGCAAAGGATGGCTTGTTAATTTTAATGCCTCCAGAATTAAGCTGCTCTCTATTAATCATTTAAAAGACCCCTTTCTGCCTGCTATCAAGATGACTGATGCTAACCTTCAGAGGGTTGACTTGTGATTTCTTGGGCTAATGTTATTGACTGACATCAATTGGAAGGAGTGTATTGAATCCATTGTTAGGTCAGCTGCTAAGAAAGTTGTTCATGCTAGACATTTTTCTTTCCAAAATCTATCTTACATATCTATATGTTTGACATTCACCCATGCTTAGAATATTGCTGCCACACCTGCTATATATCTAGAGATCCTTGATAAAATCCAAAAAAGAATCAGCAATATTCTTGGTCCTGATCTTGCATCTCATATTTTCAGGGCAACTGTTCTGATAAGTTTTCCTTTTTGGTGCCTTGACTGCATAAATTTAAGTGTGCTACTAGATTGGCAAATAGGTCTAACAATTTTACTGCTGAACTAGCTAGATGCAACTGCCATCTCTATTATAATAGTTTCTGTTCTTGCACTTCTCGCATGTTGAACTCCCTTCTGATTTCTTGATTCCCTCCCACCTATAACCTTCAAAAATTTAAATGCAACACCAATTGTCACCTTCTGCTTTTCTGAAACATGTTTTTTTATTGCCCTTTTTCCTCATTTCTCCTCACTAAATGTTTCTCATTCTCTTTCATTCCCTGTAACCCCTTGCATCCTAGTGGTATTATCATCTTGCTTGAGGTGAAATGATTTTAAAAAAATAGAAAGGCAGACTGTGTTGTCTAGTCTTGGATGACAGTCAGTTTAGGACACTTAATTGAAAACTGGAGAGTTAGGTGTAGGTTCTTGCAATGCCGCCTTCTTCTATAAGCCATGTCTCTTTAGAATGTTGGTGACCATGGCTCTCCATAATTTCCTGTCCTTTGTAAATTTTGTCTTTTTGCTATCTCTCCTAAACCCCTTTTCTGACATCCATTTGCACAAGCTTGTTAGGTAGGTTATGTGCTGTTTTCCTCTTGCTTTCACTATATCATGTGAGTGTCAAATTTTTCAAGCCCTCTTTCTTTGCAACACCACTTGGCAAAAAGTCTATTAGCTGCTGAAGCTTTTAGTTTTAGTGTGGTTGCATATTCATCCTATTCAAAAATAAATATTCCTTTATACTTCTTATATAATCTATTTAATGATTTAAAATTCAATCTGCATTTCTATGATATGTATTTGATCTTTCATTCTAAAATCCATGCATGAAATACCTAAATTTATCTACATAATAACTTTCACTCTAAGACAGGAACAGTTCATCATTTTTGAATAAGTCTGTCCAATTAGTGTAACACTTCTTTGAAATTTCAATACTTCTAGAATTAATCACGTACTTGATTTTAGGTCTCTGGTTATCCAGTATTGATCTGTTTATAAGCCATTTTAACTTTACATCTATTTTTATTACAGTTTTTTCTCCAGCACTATAGTTTTTCAGTTATGAAGTCTATCTTGAACTTTTCTAGAAGTAATTTCTCATTATATTCTTTCAAGTATGCTCTGTTCATGGCACTCATTATTTTACTTTGTTTTCTCATCCTCTTTTCATGATGGTAGCTCCTATTCCCACATTTATATAACCAACCAAATAACTAACTACTGTTTCTTCTCCTTCTGTTTTAACAAGGCTTGATTCTTTTGCTCCACTGGCAATGTGTAGAGTCTAAGCAAGATATATACACTATATTCTTGCTTGGTAAATAGCCTACTTTTGGAAAAAATAATATATATATTAAAACAAAAAGAATAACACAGTAAGCCATAACAATAATTCCCTTAGTAGAGATTAGTTTGTCAGGGTGCTTGGATGAGATACAGCTGTTTAACTTTGTTTTTACTAGGTTTCTGTGCCACTTTTTCAAATCTTGCTGTAATGCACAAAGTTTTTATTGTCAGGAATAATCTAGAAAAACATTAGGATCATTTCATCTGGATATAGTTTCTCTAAAATTATTAAAGGCTATTATTATTGCTTGACTGTATGTTTCTTCAAGCATATTTTATTTAATACATTTGTCTCTTAATTTTTGTCTGAATTTTTCTGATGAGGAGTTATCATTATTTACATGTGGATTGTTGTCCTCATCTTTGTTGTTATTGTCACAAAGTTTCAGCTATTGTGCCCACTGACCTTCATCAGGTCCTTTCAGACTGAACCCCTTATTTAATCCACAGAGGTAGATTGTCTTTAGTTCATGTCAGTGGAAACAGGTTTACTGTGTTGGCTACTTCAATAATAAATGTGTATATATTTTACAATACATGAATTAACGGTGGTGAAAGGGTACATGCACAAAATAACAGTCCAATTGATTTGCAATGCAAGATAACATTTATTAAACAAAATTAACAAAAGGAAAGTTTAAGAGTTTCTTTTTCTAGAAGTTAATTGCATACATAATGAAATGTTAATGACTATTTTGAGTGTGAATTACTGTGTTGCTGTGTTTTAGTGTGAAGTGTTTACAGCCCTTTTGCTTCAGTGTGAAAAGTTCATGTCACTTAGTTTGAAAGAAGGACAACCCAGAAGAAAGAGTTACTTAAGGGTTTTCTTGTTTTTAAGCTGCTGCTGATACTAGATTTATTAAAGGCTGCTACTGTGACTATTTTTATTAAGGCACTACACAGGGGACGCAATAACTGAGTAGTACCAAATAATAACAAGACGATATATTCCTAGACATGGAAAAAGAACAATTTACCTGCGTAGATTAAATAAAGGGTTCAGTTCAAAATTCCTTGAAGGATATCTGTATTTGATGAAGGCAGAAGGGTATAACAGCTGAAACATTGTAATAATAACAACAAAAAAGAAAACAATTCTCCGAGTGTAAATAATGTATACTAATATCTCTTGGTTTATTTATTTTGAATATTCACCATATCAAATTAGTTTTGCTTCCCTATATGCATGGCAGTGAGTAGCAAATTAATTTTTGAATGATGATTTATTTATCAGGTTGGCAAGACACCATTTTATGTTGCTATTGACCATCAACAAAAGAAAGTTGTGATTTGTATCAGAGGAACCTTATCCTTACAGGTATCAATTCTTTTTTTATTCATTTTCTTACTAATCACTGGATTCTTTTTTTTCCTACTTTTTAAAAATCTTATAAAGTGGCATGGTGGAGGCAACCTTCTTCACAAGATTATCCAGAAATAGTTTGTGCTCATAGAAAACCAACAGAGATAAGGTATGAAAACCGACAACTGATTTGGTATGCATTTATGTAAATGTAAGTGTTGACCAAAGGCAAGTAAATTGCATGTTTAAAGGACAAATAAAGTTGTGTAGACTTACAGGGAACACAGATTTATATATATATATATGTATGTATGTGTGTCTGTGTGTAAAAATTCAGATATAAATAAAATAGATCTGAAAAATGACAATATAAATAAATACAAAAGGAAAATTTTTCTTTGCCAACAAGTTTTATCCTCTGATGGAATTTATCATGGTAAATATAAGAATTTTATTTTGCAACATGTATTTATAAACAGAAGTAAAAAGTATTGTTAGGCTTTAAAAATTTTGAAATTAAAGAATGCTCAAAAATATTCTTCAGGCGAATTGTTAAAGTCGTTAAACTATGGAAGATTCTAAGTGATGTAATTTAATGCCTAATAGGAGAAAGTAAATGTTGTTGCTGAATTTTATTTTTACTTCTGTTTATAAATACATGTTGCAAAATAAAATCCTTACATTTGCCTTGATAAAGTCCATCAGAGGATAAAATGCATTAGTGAAGAAAAGTTTTCCTTTCGTCTTTATTCATTCATATATATATATATATATATATATATATATATATGAATTATATATATATATATATATATATATATGAATTAATGTTCCCTATAAGCCTCTTCTCTCTCTCACTCTCTTTTATATATATATGAATTATATATATATGAATTATATATATATATATATATATATATGAATTATGTATATATATATATATATATATATATATATATATATATATGAATTAGTGTTCCCTATAAGCCTCTTCTCTCTCTCACTCTCTCTTTATATATATATATATATATATATATATATATACTAACAGTATGGCCCAGCGTTGCCCATGCTTGATTCAAAAATCGTGCAACTCATACAGCAATCGCTATCACTTGACTTAAAATATTTTTGCTTTTCCTCGCCTTTAAAGGAGTGCCCTTTGCCATGCTGATGTTGCTATATGCCTTACTTCTTGCCTATCTCACACTGCAAATTTTTTCTAAGCTCTATACTAAACATTAAATCTGTTATGAAAAAAAAACTAAACAAAATGAACACAAAACGATCAGCTTTAAAAAAGGACTCATAACTGGAAAAAACAAATGAAAAAAGAATGTTAACAACAAATACTTTTTCACACCCACCCCAGTTCTGGGGAATCAGAATCAATGTTGACTTTAAGCAAGTGAATGAGCCAATTGGAGTAAAGTGCCATGCAGATTTAAATTTTTCCTACTTGTGGTGAATGCAGCTATCGATTTTTTTTGCATGCTAGTTAACATTCGTGTCAGTCAGCTGTTGGCTCTCACACTGGCCAATAGAATCTTTCTGCCTATTCGTGGCAGCCAGCTATTGGCTCTCACTCTGGCCAGTAGAAAATGGCCGCAAACTACATGAAAACTGCTGTAGAAGCATGAAAAAATTGATTATTTCCACTATCGATGGGAGTTGGGAAATGCAAAGTCAGTCTTAGCCTTCCCGCTAACTTGGAGCATGTGCATGTAAATTTTGGTGCAAATCCGTCAAAAATTGCAGCCATGTATTCATTACACACACACACATCCTGCCTTATATATATATATATATATATATATATATATATAGAGAGAGAGAGAGAGCAAGAGAGAGAGAGCTTAAATGCTGCATTGTTCAAATTGAATTGAATTGTATTATTGGGTTTGACAGCATATCAACCTTTATTAAGTCATTTAATGCCAAAAGGTTGATTGTTTCATTGTAAGTTAAGGTATGTGAATGATTGGATTGTTGGGTTTAATGTCACATCAGTCTTTATTAGTTCTTCTAATGCCAAAAATTTGTTGTTTCATTGTGAATCAATCCACACATACAGTGTTGGATTGGTGGCAAATCAACCTTTTTATTTTTATTAATTTTTTTTTTTTTGCCTGGATATGAGAGAATCTTGCCGGTAGTGCCAGGCCATTGCATTGATTGATTTGTTTTTGTGGCTTACTAACCCTTTGTGGATTTTTTTAAAGTTTAAACTTATTTTGGACTAGCAGTAGAGCACGGTGTTGCCCGGGGATGTCACAGTAAGAGATAGTAGATCAAGTATTGACCTTCATAAAGACTGAAAAATAAAATTGACAAAGAAAAAAGTGTGCAAGACAATAAGAAACACTACCTGCTAAAAAAAAGTGAAGTTTTGTTGAAATTGGTTGAAAAATGTAGGAAATCCAATCCCATATATAAATGAACACACACACACACGCACACAAACAACCTGGGTTTTATTATAAGTATAACTCGATATGAGTTGCCCCCTTTCATTCTCATGATGCCTCTTAATCGTGTTTTCAAATTGATTTCATGCAAAAACAATTCTGTTTTTCAATTTTTGGCGCTGTTAGAACCACCGCAAGGTCCTGTGAAGTTTTGTTGAAATCAATTGAAAAATGTAGGAAATCTGATCCAATATATAAACGTACACACACACACACACACACACACACACACACACACACACACACAATCTGCATTTTATAATAAGTAAGATTATAAGAGTAATTCATTTTATTTATGAGTACATTAACAATTTTCCTGAATAACAATGATTTTTTTCTGAATACAAGTCCTACTATTTAACCCATAACTGGGAAAGGAAATGGATTCATACATTTCCCAAGAGTATTTGTGCATAAGTGATTGCAACAAAGCCAGGTAGAATTCAATTCCAAGTCAATATTGATTACATCACCTAAACATCCTGTTCAAGAGAATAAGAGAATCTATTTTTTAGACAATTTTTGAACAAGTCTTTACTTGTTCATTGAGAAACAGGAAATGAAGAACCATTTATTTGATTGAATTCTACTTCATAGTGTAGATGTTAGAAACAAAGCAGCCTGACTATTTTCACAATTTAATCACTTTTACTTGTAGCCTAGCTATGAGGAAAGGGAGATATGTCTTCTTGTGGGGAAAAACAAAAAAAAACAGCATATAATTCTTGAGTGTCCTACTAGCCTGCAGGTGAACAGTGTCCTCTCTACTCTGAGTTCTAACTGCTACTGAATAATAATTTCAACTGTTCCAAATTTGAGATTATCTGATGCTAATATTTTGAAATTTTCTGTTGATTGGTCCTTCTTTTAGTGACTTGATACTCTGTCATGGTTTTTTCCCATTCCAAGTCTGAGTATTTGAATTCAAGATGAGTAGTGAGCTGCAATTTAAAAATTTCTAACATAAATTATCACAATAACAAAATCCCTGGTGATAGAATGTTTATGAAAAAGTGAAGATTTCTATGTAAAGACATGATTCTCAACTTTTGTGCTCAATTCACCCTTTTCACCATATGTAAAAAGCCATACCCGATTTTCCAAAATTGTCTGACTCAAAAGGTGCATTCCAAATAATATGCATATATTATTGAAAATATGCATTTTTTTGCATATTAGTACATATACATTTACATGGATTATTTTTACAGAGAAGTTTTACAAAGCTTTGCAACAAAATACACAGTAAGGACTTTCTTCTCTATTAATGATGATGGATGTGAATCCATATTGAATATAAAATTCATCATACCATCTTTTTTTTGACACTCATGATGGGCTTCAAATTCTGTAAATAAAAAATAAGAAAAAGTAAAAGGTATCCTATTCAAAACCCTGAAATTCCTCCTAGGGCTAATTGCCTCAGGTTGAGGACTCCTGAATTGTAAAGCATTGCAAAAGCAGTTCCCAATATTAAATTTTGTTAATTTTGTTAATTCAAACACTTTCTTGAAAGTACAAATATAAAAAATCAAAACTTAATTGTATTCAATTTCTACTTCCTGGCAGATGTTTGTTGGACTGAACCAACTTTGGGATCCTACCATATTTGTAGAATACTTTGCAAATTGCAAGATTCATTTTCTGACAACTGAATTCTAGTAAAGTCCCCTGCTTCCATTTTATCTTTATTTATATAAAAGATCACTTATAACAAATTTAGTGTAAGAGATAAGGAAATTGAACATAGAATAGGCTGTGTTAGGGTTAATTTTGTCCAACACTGCAAATTGTTACAAGACTAAAACATTAACCTAAAACCTCAAGTTATATTCTTGTCAGATCTAGACTCATATGGATATCATCCATGGCATCCAACTCATTCAGAAACATATATACTGTCACCTGTATACAAAGGCTTTAATAGCATAATCAAGATGTTGACTTTCTACTCTACCTTAAAAGAAGGTTATGAAGGAAACCTCCATCAATACTGGAAAGAATAATAACAGTTATTAAAATTGAGGAAACTAATTTTCTGAAAAACTGTTTTAAAATTTTATAAATTTCAACTGAAAGTAGCACTGGTTGCTCAGTCACTGAATGCCGAATATTTCCTTATAAGGAGATGGCTAATATTACCATTATCATTACCATATTGGATGATGTATAAAAAGTTACTTTTGTAGCAGAAAACAAAATTTACACATAGAGATAACAAATTAAAACCAAATTTATACAATTATTAGAAAACATATATCTCCAACTACACACCATTTTTTGTCTAGCTAAGTCACACACACCCTGCACACTACTCAAAACAAATTTGAAATCAAATACAAATATACCAGAGTGCTGGCATTGTTGACATGATTCTCGCTTACCACAATGTCTACAACTTTGTCTGTGCATTTCCCTTATATAGGCTATAAGAGAAGCTGGATAGAGAAGACAGCAGAGGGAGAGACTTCACACACACACACGCACACACACACACACGCACACACACACACACGCACACACACACACACGCACACACACACACACGCACACACACACACACGCACACACACACATGCTCACTATAGAGGCTACTCAAGAGCATGGCTGATTGCCGTCCGAATATTAGGCTGTGAAAATCACCTTCTGTGAACGCAGAAAGAGAACGAATTCTGTTATAAATGTGACAAACCGATAGCCAACAAGCAGTCAGCCAGATTAAGCATACTCCTTTTTCACACTCATTTTACATCATTTTACACCTCATACACCATACATTTGAATGCTACACCATACAACTTACCAGAGACATTTTCATATCTTGTAAATGAAAATAAATCTTTGTTTTTTTCTTCAAACTAGTGTCTAATTTGTTTCTTTACTCCAACCAACTTCCACTCTGGGATCACTTTGGAATGTTCATTCTGATTATGTTCTTTATAGTTATCTGATATCTGTTTTCTACAATATTGACATGTTATAAAAATGTTAAATTTTAAAACTTTGAACTCAGTCAATATGCTGTAATATGAAAATAGCACCTGATTAAAATCCCCCCCCCCCCAAAAAAAAAAAGTAGATACCTGCAGTGGGATGGGAGGGGGCAATTGATTTATTCATATTTTAATCTGACTTTGTTTATCTTTTCTGGTCAATACAGAAATAAAGTTTGATTAATCTTATTCACAAAAATATGACTCACTAAACTATATTTCTGTATTGACCAGAAAAGATGAAAATAATCTTCAACATTATTCTCTAAACTTATTCTTTATTTTGATCATTTTCATCCAGGATGTTTTAACTGATCTGAAAGCTGAATCAGCTATGCTCCCATTGGACCCACCAATTGAAAACTGGCTTGGCCATGAGGTAATACCAATTCCATTATGTTAATTACAGTATAAAATCTATGAAAATATTGCAAATTTACATTTAAAAAAGAACACCCATTTTTTCATTATTATTTGTTTAAACTATTATTTACTTTAATGTGGGAATGGAAAGTATTATCATTTTATGCCTCCTGATACATTTGTCCCACAAACAATATTTGGTGGACTCATGTGAGTCTGGGTAAAAAAATCGGTTACAAAACATGGAAATCAAACAAACAACAATTAATAAATGTATTGACAAGACATTACAGAAGGATAAAGAAAGAAATGAAGTTAAAGTTATGAACAGTTCAATACAATCTTCAGTGTCTGTCTGAAGAACTTATATACTTTGTGTTTATTGGAGTGAAAGGAAACACTACTGCACCAAAAGTCAAAGGGAAAAAAAGAAAGAGGTTTTCAAATATTGCACTGCCTGTGATTGTCGTCAATGGGCAGTAATACAACAACTTTCATCTGAATTTTTTTAGTTGTTGTTTATCACAACTTTACTAAGACCATCAATTTTTGACAGCATAGAATGGGAAATAAAGGATAAGCTTCCAAAGCTTTTTAAACTGTCTCCTTTTTGCCTCATGGAAACCTGATGAATTCCCAGCTACTTTAACTGTTAAACTATAAGAACTTGATGGTTTTGCAGAAGATTCAATCCCATCTTTAACTCATCACACTATATAATGCTTATTATTAATGATATATCTGTTTTTGTTTTTACAAAAGTAGTATTAAGATAAATATTATTTTTAATAAATGAAGTAAGTTGTATCATTATTTTTAATTTTTGATTACTATTTGCTTTCATTTTAATTTTTTAGTTGTTTTTTATTACAATTTTGCCCAGGTCATCAGTTTGTGGCAATACAGATTGGAAATAAAAGATAAACTCATATCCCTTTTGACTTGGGAAAGCCTTGTTAAAATGCACCAGTTGTTTTTACAGCTATAAAAACTGAATGACTTTGTAGAAGATCAAATCTAACATTTTAAATCCATCCATTATTCCATGATTTCTCTCAGTACCATATGTGACTTTGGTTTTATACTATTAGTATTAGTAAATTCATTTTGATGCTGGGTGAGTTGGCCCAATGGTTATTACTACTGTTGGCTTATATTGCTTCTTGTATCAATGCTACCCTGTCAGATTTTATTATGCAAATCAATGTTTTCATAATAAAATTGGTATTAATTAACCACTTTTGGTAAAATTTTCAGGATATTTTTATGTGATAAATTTATTATATGAATTTTAGTTTATATCTATCTTTCTTAAAAGTATTGATAATAAGTTGTTATCATGGTGTATGCAAATTTATAAATATTCCAAAAGATATAAGTCATAGAGATATATTTGATTAACCAATATCCCATTATTTTATCAACTTACATGTTAATATGGACTCCTTGATATTCTATAACCTTAATCAGCCATTCAACCATTGATTTTATTAAACTTTTCTGCTGTTTTGACTTAAACATTAACTGCAGCAGTTTTTATTCTCAGAAATCCTTATATTTATTGTTTTCCATTCTCATATACATCTCTTTTAATGATTATTCACAAATTTTCTGTTGGATTAATATCTGTTGCAACTGAAGACCCTTCCATTAACCTTTTGAGCCCAGTGTTCCTGAACAATTTTAACTCTTCTGCCTGAGCTCCTGAGTCAAAATTCACAAATAATTGGTATGCAATGTTTCATGGTAGATATAAAAATATTTGAGTGTTTACCCACCATTCAACTGGTGGCTGGGCATTACGTCATTTTTCTCTACCACTATTCAACCGGCGACTGGGCATTATGTCATTTTTCTCTACCATTGGTAAAGTGGTGGTCAGGGCTGAAAGGGTTAATTTAGTGATTCTGAAATCTTTTTCTTTTTTGGGCTAGGTTGGCAATAGTTTGCTTTGCAGAATGTGAAAGAACATTATTTTGCATTAATATACTCTTTAGTTTAAGCTTTCTGGCTATGGCTTGTACTATACAAAAAACCTTTTATCCAGAAACTTAATTTAAAAAATTAAAAGAGAAAACAATTCACTAAGAGGAAAATTTTAAAGAAAGTGCTTTAATCGTTACATCACCCACAGTAAATTTGCATCCAGGTTTTTCAACGTTTCATCATTCTTGGCAAATCTTCTATTACCACAGTGTGGGATATTTAATAACAAAAGTGATGGAAACAAAAACAAACAGAATCTAAATGAAATTGGCTGGATTATTTACTCAAAACACATATTATTAAAAACAAAAAAAAAAATAATCTTTAAATTTAAAATTCCCAGCATCTCTCGTTCAGCACATGTTGTCACATCTGTGTAAACATAAACTCAGTCTGATAAAGGATGAAATGCATCACACAAAAACTTTTTCCACTTTGTCATACTTCTTTCCCCTAAAATATTTATAATAGTATTTATAAATAGTATTTATAAATATTATAGCATTTAAAATATTTCTAATTGTATTTATAAATAGTATTTATAAATAGAATTTATAAATATTATAGCATTTAAAATATTTCTAATAGGATTTATCTTGATGCCATCACTAACTTTGAAGGGACCTATATTTCACTGCCTACAGTAATAGCCTAAAAAAACATTATTCCACCTCCCCACTGGTGTTTTCTAAATGCTAGTACAAACATTAGGTCTATCATATGTTACTTTACATTCATCACTAGGTTTTCAGTGCCCATTTTTGTGATGTTTACTTAAAAGTGGTAGTTTGGTTGCTTTCATGCCTTTAATGTTTTTCATCTTCTGCATATTTTTCTCTCAGCTTTTTTCAAAATTTTCTTGCTGGTCAATTCCCCTTTTTTTGCTGAGTACCCTTTTAATTTTCTCAAATTTCTTTTTGTGACATTCTGAAAACTAGTCTTCTTTTTGTTCTTGCCAGTGTTTTCATTTTTTTCTTATATAATCTCTATTCAACATTTTTTCAATTTCAAACACTGTGTTCACATCAAACAATGACTTTACAATATCTTGTTTCTGTTTGGAAATTATTTCTTTCATACATATTATATTTTATATTTTTGTTTGAAATAACTAACAATAAATATACTATTATATCTTATTACTATAAATTTTATTTTAATGAGTCACTGTGTTTGAGTTTCTATTCCTGTTTTTTTATTTTCTTAAACAGTTAAATTAATTAATAAAAATAATATTGGTAAAAGAAATCTCTTAAAAAATTACTATTATATCTGTTTATTTGCAATAAGATGAACAATTCTTAAGTTATGTAATGAAATCTCACACCACCAAATAAGTTATTGTAAAAAACATTATAAACTGAAATTTTCTTGGTATATTTATATGATAAATGTGAGTATATTCTGAAAATTTTATCAATATTGGTTGGTTAAAAAAAATTGACTTATACAATAAAATCTGAAATGATATAGTTAATGACCAGATCTTAAATAAAATTGTCATCATCTATATGACATAACTAATTTCAATATCATTATTTGTATATTAATATTATATATCATATGACTAAGCATAAATGAATTTATTAAAATAATAGTTTTGAAAATGTAAATAAGGACAAATACAAAAAGAAAGAAGAATAACTACTAAATTAAGAAATTTTAATTAATGTGATTAAGTTTAAAGTAATAAAATGTTAGTGATAATTTTTTTAATAAAAAAAGATTTTTGATATTTTATTCATGAACTAAACAGGTTTTTATGTATTTAAACCATTAACTGATATCCTTGAACCAACTTTGCTTATTCCTAATGAGTTAGGTCTGAAGTAGATTGAAATTTATTAGTGTTTAATTCCTTTTCTTTTTTTAATACAAATTCTATACATAGATGCATAATTAGGGGTGGGGGTGGCAATTTCTTGCTGCTGAGTAACTGCTATCTCCAAGTGAAGAACCTCAGCTGTTTTTGATTCAGAAATAGAAACTTCATATCAGTGATTTATGGTTAATGAATCCACTTACTAAGCATTGTGTGTATGTATGACAGTATACTATATATGTGTGTGTGTTTCAGTAAAGACGACTGACAAGGTAGTGCGATTAAGCTTTTTACCTAATTTTTCTTGTGTTTGTACAAGTGTTTTCTTTTCTGGACACAAAGTGTGTAAAAATTGTCCAAATGTTCTGCATTTCTGAATGCTTTTGGCTATATACTTTTAGCCATACACACACAGACACACACATACATATAGTAAGGTAAAAAATCTATTGGTATGTAATCCAAGTGGATCCTAGTAATGTGAAAATATTAGAACTGATCTACAAAAAAGAGCTTGATGTATTTTATTTAATTTATACAGAGCAATATGATTAATAATCAAACAAATCCTTTTGGCTCATATGGAGAATGGGCTATTTTGGCAGACGCCAAAAGTTGTCATCTATCTTTTCAACTCCAGTGTGGAATGAAATGAAGTTTATGTCTGTAAGGTTAGAGGAAAGAAGATGTAGCAGTTAACTGTGAGGAATTGGTATTGAAAGCTAAAGGGTCAACTAAAACCTTAACTTGACGAAAACACCTAATACAGAGTTTACACTTTTCACTGTTTCAGTCAGACACTAGGCACGAGACAGGGTTCAAGAAGGGTGGTAGATATCTATCTTAAAGGGAAGAAGTTTTATTAAAAAAAACAGAATATTAACCTTATGACGACAAATTGGGGATATTAGAAGAAAATACAATTTTTAATTTAAATTTAAAATTAAAGAAGAAATTAAGAATGAACCCCAAAAGTAAATTTAAAATTTATATATATAAGAGAGACGTAAGGGATTAATGGAAAGAGAGTTAGGTAGTTATTCTAAGTAGATGAAAGTTTATAAATTATAATTAATATTCCAACACCTTTTATACTATATTAATTATAATTTATAAACTTCCATCTACTTAGAATATCTACATCTATATGTATATATATATATGCACATTTCATTGAATACAACAGACAAGGTGTTTTGATTTAGTTT